AATATTCCATTCCTTGCACATATTTTTGTTCTATAGCTAGGTCGTAAACATTAAATATTAAAGTTTTAGGTATTAGATATATAAATAGCATAATATAAAGTGGTGTGTATGCAAATCCCCCTAAATTTTAATATTGTGATAATTCAGCTATAGTGTTTGTGGCTAAGAATAACAAAAGCAATAGTCGAAGCAACCATATTGACATTAAGTACTTAGCCATAAAAGAATGCGTTAAGAAGAATACAATGGTTATTGAACACATAAGCACTGAATTAATGCATGATAGCATATCCTTTAACTAAAGGATGCCACCAAATAAGTTTAAGGGTCATGTGGATTTTATGGGTCTTGGTTACTTTAATTAGTTTCACTGTAAAATGAATATAGTTATGATGTTTATCATATTTTAGTCATTTATATGTGTGCACATTTATATTATGATAAACATTTTAGTGTTGGATCTAGAATAAACATAAGGTTTGTTCATTAAGTTAAATAAATAAATATATAGGAGGCAATCATTGTGATTCATATGAGATAATACTCATACTTATAGGGCCTACCATCATGATTCATGATTTTTGTTTCTTATTTTATTTGTTACAGAATATTTGGACCAAGTGGAAAATTGTTAAAATAACTATCATTTGTGGTCCAAATTACTTGACCATTTTCAGTTTAATTCAACATTTAAAATGACCATTACTCAGTTTTAAATTCAAAAATTAAAACTGATCGTTTCTTAATTTTAATTTCAGCTTTTAAAATTGAAATTTCATTTATTGCTATATAGGCAGCAATTAATTCAGAATTTCTATATATTTTGGGTCACTAAGCCTTTCTCTCTAATCACTTCTAAGAAAAAACCTACACCATCATTTTGAGGAACTTTTATTTGGTCCGGTGAACGTACGCAACTCTACGTTCGGCCGCCAGTAGAATCGTGCTACGCGTTTTCATTATTTACTGCGTGCCCCGACAACCCGACCCAAAACGGACCCAAGATTGCTCAGTATTGCTAGGTATTGGTCGATTTTGAGCGGTATTCTAGCAAAACCGAGCAAATCCCTAGCAATACCGAGCAAATCCTGAGCAAATATTGAGTTGTACCAAGTTGTAAAAAAACTCGGTACAACTCAGTATTTGCATGGTATTGGTCTTCACAGAGCGGTATTCTAGCAAAACCGAGCAAATCCCTAGCAATACCGAGCAAATCCTGAGCAAATATTGAGTTGTACCAAGTTGTAAAAAAACTCGGTACAACTCAGTATTTGCATGGTATTGGTCTTCACAGAGCGGTATTTCTCATTTTTGCAAAGCAATACCTAGCAAATACCGAGCAAATATCGAGAAAGTCGCGAACATAGCATTACCGAGTTCCGCTCCGGGTCAAGTCGTCGGGCCGCACGGTAAAGAGTAAGAGCACGTGGCGACATGTTATTGGCTGCCGAACGTAGCTCTACGTCCGGTCAGAGGACGTAATAATTGTTCCATTTTGAGAGAGAAAAGACTTAGAAGAATTCAAATATTAGTAAAGAACACGATCAAATCTCAATAGCCGGAGTATTTAAAATATGTTTATAAAAAAAAAAACCCCTCTTAACTACTGAAGTTAGAAAATATTTTTAATAATAATTTTTTTTTTTTTTATAGAATATTGGCATAAGATATATGTTTTATTCAACAATTTTTGTTTCTCTCAAATAGCGGCAGTTCAGTTAGACTAAGAAGAAAAAATATGATGGAGCTTTTTAAAAAAGAATTGAGTAAATCAAAATATAATTTTCTGACCACCAACAAATATATCTCTCAAATGAAAAGCTGAGTCTTCATTACTGGCCACTGTAATTCCTCCACGTCCTGTACTGAATTCGCCATCACATCTTAATATGGCTAAAGCATCGTCATGCTTCGTCCTTCCATAATCTCTGCTTTTAATATGGACATAATCACGCAGGAGGTTTTGGGGCCACACATATAAACTATTAAGCAGAAACCCTAATGAAGAAGGAGAGTGGAGACTGGCCAGTCAACAGCTTACACTTTCGGAGAGATAAACCAAAATAATTAGGCCACCATCTCTTATTAACGTTCAATAACCCAGCCTGCAATGCATTTAACGGTCATATTAATAAGGCCATTAACATAAATAAACCAAGTTTTGTTCTTCTCCACAAGGCGTAGTGACGCATGAAAGACGACCGAGGACTGAGAGTGAATGTGTGGGCGGTGTTTGTTTAGAGAGATATGATTTGCTCGCAGCAGCAGAAGAAAACAAGGCTTCTTGATTGTTTTTTTTAGGGAAAATATTTATCTAAGTATATTTGATTACAGATTAGTCAGAGTAAGTTTTGACATGATTAAATTTGTTTTGAAGATTTAGCTCATATTGAAATAATTAATCAAAATTTTTATTATATTCAATTCAAAATAAATAAATGGACTAATTAAATTATGTATATATATATATATAGAGAGAACTATTTGGTCTACAAGTAGGGTGCCAATATCTAACACAACTTAAAAACTTGACCCGAACCCGACTCGTTTGCCATATGGGTCAGGTTCAGGTTCATAATTCTGACCCGTTTTAAACCGGGTCGGGTTCGGGTTGGCCCAAAAACTCAAACCAACATGGGACGACCTGAGAACATTGGTGTGACCTATCTCATCAGCATTGTTGCATCATCGCGTGATCCAGTCACCATGTAATGTCTCATCAAGTTTTAAAATATCAAATCGCATGCCGCTACCGTCGTCCCGCCCGCACTGCCATTGGCTACTAATGTCTGGTCAAATTCGAAAATACGCTTATCTGGCCGATGCCATTGCCGCCGTGTTGCGTCTCACGAGTCAAGAGACCCAGATGTTCAGTTGGCCACTCGGGTGGACCAGCTATGTACAATAGGCTCTTGTAGCACGTGCGGTGTGAGTGAATGCGTGTGATTTCAAATTTGCAATATAACTTACTTAACCCACCATCTGACTAACCTTGGGTTTGACAACTATAGCATTTTATAAAAATTGACTATAAAGTTGTCGTGAAAAAACTAGCTTAACTATTCTGGTTGCAAAAAAAAAAATTCTCCATAGAAATTTTGAAAAAGCTAACAATCAGAAAATAATATCCAAATGAAATTATGATTATTATCTAAAAATCAATTAAAGTTGCGAAAATTGTCCCAATATGACCTTTAAGGCATATGAAGCTAACTAACTCTCAGCCTTATATAAAATATCTTTATTTGCTCGATTAGTTTGAATTTAATAAACTTTTAGTAAGTTTTAACGATTTTGTTGTTTTATTTGGTCTATTCTATTCTTAAAAATTTTAGCACGAATAAAAAAACTACTTGTAATATATATTTTAATACATTTGGAATCCTAAATAAATCATTTTTTTGACTGCGCTTTTCTAAGTTCCCTTTCAATGATTTCGACTGTGTTCTTTGGTTTTAGTCAAGTTTGGATTTCCTATGGGTTTCAACGGTTTCCATTATTTCAATAATTTTATTGATTTTGATATTTTCGGCCCTATTCCTGTAGCTCCAGATCAAAATGATTGAATTTCTCTTAATTTGGTTAGAACAAATTTTTTTTTGATTAATTTCAAAAGAAATTTACACTAAAATTAAAAATTAGGATTTTGGGCTGGACTGCACCAGCACATTAGCGCACAACTAATGATAATTAACAGACTAATAATACAAATTAAACTCCCTTAATTAAGGGTCTGCCCAGGATGACTGCAATTATTTATAAAAAATAATTATAAAGTAGTTGTGGGAAAAACAAAAAATTTTAAACTATTTGGATAGCAACTATTAGTAGATTTAGGGTTTAAAAGAACTAAGAAATTAATTCATATATTTGCATGTAAAATAATAAAATCTCTTAAAATTTAAGAAATTATTGTCAATAAAACATAATATTTTTATTGTGCTATTTTATTTTTTAGTGATATGTTTTTATCATTTCAATCAATTGAGCATCATTTAAATAAAAAATATTTTAATGTTTAAAAAATTATATCCATTTTGTACTGTCTCCAACTTTTAAAATTAAGAAAATGACAATATGACATGACGACTAATCTTGATTTTTTGGTTGAGAGATTTGACTATCAACTAAGAGGTATTCAGTTCGTGTCTTGTATATAATGTGTGTGAATTTGTCTTAATTGACCTAAATGTCCCAAAAATAATAATATGACATATTTACTATATAAATAATGATAGCGATGAAATAGTGGAGCCAGACATCAAAGGAATAGTGGCGTCGGTTGGCTGATGATTGTGATAGTCGATAGTCGACAGCAGCAGCAACAATAGTGACTAGCTGTGTTGGCGGTGGCCAGCGATGATTATAGCAAACAAATAATTAGTTAGGGGAAGAAAAGTTTTTTGCTTTATATATTTAAATAAAAATATACTGTTGGTCAAGGTTGCAAACAAATGAATAATTGAGGAATAAGATCAATTTTTGTCACATTCTTCAGCATATCGATATCCCATCATCTGTTTACATCTATTCCCACTCTTATGAATCTTAGTTATATTTGTTGTGGAATTAGTTCAAAGCGGAAATATGATGAAGAAATAATATGATTTATTTTAAAAATAAAAAATTTATTATAAAATGTCAAATAATATAAATTAAAAATGAAAAAAAAATTGAACCAAAAAAACTCCTTCATGTACTTCATATGATTTTTAATAAAAATTAATTAATTTATTAGTATTCAATAATTGCTGCAGATATTTGAATTTTTAAGCATTATATAAAATGTCTTAAGCAGTATTTCCCGTCCCCACTACTCCCTCGCTAAGAAAGGAGGCACGTGCGGATGTCAACGGAGAGTAAGTGGGCTTTACGTTCAACACACAGGCACCTGAGCCCACACAGGTAATCGTGTCAACCGGCTGAGGAGAACTGTTTACCTTATATTTAAAAATTAAAAAAAATTAACATCATAATTATTAATTATTTAATACGTAATAATCATAAAGTGGGAATAGACCAATAAGAGCTTTTAAATGGTTAAGTAAGAATCCATGTCAAGCACCATTTTCTCTCTCCTAAGAATGCACCACGTGTTTTACTTGAATCAGGTTGAAACTCTGTAATGACCGCCTCCTTCCCTTTCTTCTCCGCCAAAACTCTTTGCGTCCCCAAACTCTATATATTACGCCACATCTCCCACCACTCTTTTACCACCGCCACTCTTCTCTTAAACAAACAATTCACTGCTTCTTCTTCTTCTTCTTCTTGGTCTCACTACCAGTAGAAGCAGTGAAAGCGAAGAAAAAGAGGAATTAAGAAGAGAAGAGAAGACAGGCACAGCAAAGTCCAAGCTTTTTCTCCTTTCTGAATTCTGTTGGACAAGCCATGGCGTCCTCCATGTCCTTGTTCGTCTCTTCTAGTAGCAATCAAACGGTAAATCCCCAAAAACGTCGGTTAAAACAGAGCTCCAGGCCATTCAATCTCATCCAACCAAATTCAATTAAATTAGTCCGCAGCCGTCAGGTAAACGCCGGGCCAGTCCATTGCTCTACCACTCCTAATTCCGTCCTCGGAATCGCAACCCCTACACCTTTCTTCCCTTCACCGTCCTCATGCCCCGTGGAAGGCCCCCCCTCGCCGGCCAGCAAGCCGGCCCGCCCAAAATGGAATATTTTTCAGCGAGCGGCGGCCAAGGCACTGGATGCCGTGGAAGACGGCTTAATCGTTAACGTGCTTGAGCGCGGACACCCTCTCCCAAAGACTGCCGATCCCGCCGTCCAGATCGGCGGCAATTTCGCCCCTGTTGGCGAGCAAGAGCCCCACCATGACCTTCCTGTCGAAGGCCGCATCCCTCCCTTCATTAACGGCGTCTACCTCCGCAACGGCGCTAACCCTCTTTTCGAGCCCGTCGCCGGACACCACTTTTTCGACGGCGATGGAATGGTACATGCCGTCCATCTCAGCAACGGCCGCGCCTCTTACGCCTGCCGCTTCACCGAAACAGAGCGGCTTAAGCAGGAGCGCGACGTGGGTCGGGCAATTTTCCCAAAAGCCATCGGTGAGCTCCACGGCCATTCGGGCATCGCCCGCCTACTCCTCTTCTACGCCCGCGGCATCCTCGGTCTCGTCGATCCCTCGCGAGGAACCGGCGTCGCCAACGCCGGCCTCGTTTATTTCAACAACCGCCTCCTCGCCATGTCTGAGGACGACCTCCCTTACCATGTCAGCATCAACCCCGACGGCGACCTTGAGACCGCCGGGCGCTTCGACTTCGATGGCCAGCTGACCTCCACCATGATCGCGCATCCGAAGCTCGATCCGGAGACCCGCGAGCTCTTCGCGCTCAGCTACGATGTCATTAAAAAGCCGTATTTGAAGTACTTCCGCTTCTCCCCGAGTGGGGTGAAATCAGCAGATGTAGAAATTCCTTTGGCGCAGCCCACCATGATGCACGACTTCGCCATCACGAAGAATTTCGTCATCGTCCCCGATCAGCAGGTGGTTTTCAAGCTTCAAGAAATGATTTGCGGCGGCTCGCCGGTTGTCTACGACAAGGAGAAGACCTCGCGGTTCGGTGTGCTTCCCAAGTATGCCGTCGACGCGTCGGAGATGCGGTGGGTCGACGTGCCGGACTGCTTCTGCTTCCACCTCTGGAATTCGTGGGAGGAGCCAGAAACAGAGGAAGTCGTTGTCATCGGCTCCTGCATGACCCCGCCAGATTCCATCTTTAACGAGTCGGAGGAGAATCTCCAGAGCGTGCTAACGGAAATCCGACTTAATCTCCGAACGGGAAAATCGACCCGACGGCCCGTTCTTCGTCCTGGGGAGGCGCAGATAAATCTCGAGGCCGGAATGGTGAACCGGAACCAGCTCGGACGGAAGACCCGGTTCGCGTACCTCGCGATCGCAGAGCCCTGGCCCAAGGTGTCGGGGTTCGCCAAGGTCGACCTGTCCACGGGCGAGTTAAAGAGATTCGAGTACGGCGAGGGGAGGTACGGCGGCGAGCCGTACTTCGTACCGCGTGAGGGCGGCGAGCGGGAGGACGACGGGTATGTTCTCGCCTTCGTACATGACGAGCGCTCCGGTAGTTCGGAGCTGCTAATAGTTAACGCCGCCGACATGAGATTGGAGGCTGCTGTACGACTGCCGTCGAGGGTTCCATACGGATTCCACGGAACATTCGTCGGCGCACGTGAGCTCCAATCACAGGCGGCGTGAGCTGAAGAACTTTTGCTTTATTACAGCGAGGGGAATTTATCAGAGGGATTGGCTGTTAGGTCCCCGGAGTTCTCCTTCGCACAAATAGTGGTAGTTCAGTTTGTTCTTTCCATTTCTTTTGATGGAGAAGGGAGTCCAGCTTGTAGCTTTTGTTGATGTAGCTATAGAATTGACGAGCTCAGCTGGTCTCCTGTTTATTTTTGTTCTTTTGCCATAATGGCTTTGGGGCTTTTTGTTCTGTGGCTACAGAATTCAGGAGTTAATAATGTTCCATTCCCTTCCCTGTATAGTGGGAATTCAGGGGCTCTCTCCCCCCTGCTTTTTCTCTGTTGTATATACCATTCAGAGTACAGATGCTTCATTGTTGATATATTTGAAACTATGTAATTGCTTGATTAGTCTTTGCATTTTGTTTGGGTGAAAATAACTGCTTATTTACATCTACATGAACTGTCTCTCTAAGACTTCATTTGGGATGACTTTTTTACTGCTTCTTAAAGCAGCTTTACAGTAAAAAAATTAAATTTTTTAAACTAAAAAATTGCTTTAAGAGGTATTGAGAAGGCCGTCTTAAATGAATCCTAAGTTAAACAAGCAAAGCAGGATGCAAAACACACTATCTAATGGAGTGGATTATCGCCATGATTTCCACAACTCAAACAACTTCGCATTTTGAGCATTGAAGCCCCTAAACCAGTCAATCACAATTGGATCGACAAAGAAGTACTGTAAAATGCATCTAATCCCACTAGGCTTGGATGCATCAAAGCTTGTATGAGTAGCCTAGTTGTTGGTAGGTACACCATTAATGGAATTAGATGTATTTTTGATCACAAATCCATACTTGAACCTAACATCATAGCATAAACTTCACTTTGTAACTTTGTGCTCCAAAAACCAATTGTATAGATCCTTCTTTAAATTAAGCATATCAATTTGTGTGCATTTAAAGTCTCGAAGTCATTAGTTTTTTAAGCACGGAACACATAAACCGACGCTAAACTTATTATGCCCTTTTGCCATAAAGGCAGTTATGTAAATCTCTTTATAACAGAAAATTAAACCAAGATGTTTATTTGATATTATGCATGCATCTTGAAAATTATGCATGACAAGCAAAAAGCAAGTCAATGACTCAAATTGGATTACAAAATAGAAAATGTAAGGGAAAAGAAACCATTATTAGCATCAATAGTAACAACACTTAAAAGTTGCCCCCTATACTTGCCTAAAAAAACTTGCCATTGAGGCTATGCACATGCTTGTGGTGGGACCACTTAGAGATGAATAGACCAAAACTTTAATTAAGCTATCAAAATTTGAAAGAATAACTATATTTTATTATATCAATAATTCCTTAAATAATATTTTTTTTTTGGCTTTTAAATTGATATAAAGAATGATACGACCCTTTCCAATGGTAGAGAATTGGTCTGATTGAGTTCTATGACGTCCCTTGCCTTCATGTATAATATTCACATAGTAAACTTTCCTTCTACATGACCAATTATTTCTTCATATGCAATATATAATAAATTGGCATATAAAATTTGAATTGCATTGATACTTTGATAGAGTTCATTACACATGATAGAATGATTGTATGTGTGTAGCACATATGAGTGAAACTTTCCATGTACCCTCTAAGTGCTTACTCTTAGTAGCATGCAGATGCAGCTCACAATAATGTGATGAAAAATCATTATGAATATAGATAATAGATAACCTTAATTCAATCAAAAATATTTTTTAAACATGATATATTTACTTATAGATCATGTAATAATAGCACATTACAATCAAAATTTAGTCCAGAAGAACATGCCCATAGTTAGCTCATGTTAGGTCGTGATATCTTCTACATATGGGAAGCTATCCAATGGACCATTAAAAATTTGATTTACTTACCACTGCACAGGAGTTTGGCATTCTTATATGTACTCATTATTTACATTCGTCTTATTATTTCCTCTTGATAAGGTCTCCTCATACAAAAGGGCATGTCCTCATAGCTCATTGTGTTTTTATAATTATGGGTCTCCCATTTCATCATCATTATCTTCAAAGTTTGTGCTAGCTAAAATTTATTCTTTTGCATATGATGCATTATCATTTTGGTCATCCATTTTATTGATTCAATAAGTGGCATTTCGAAGTACTCATCATGTGGTAAATGTCCATTGTGTTTATCATTCTACACATGATTTATCATCATGAGAATAGTTTGTATGATAGCCATATAAAATAAGATAAGTTCTTACCCAATACATAAAAAATCTTAGAGGGGATATATTGTTGTGTATTTCTATTTGCATGATTGATTCTTTTATCAATATGATATCATCTAATTGTAGAGTATGTATTAATATCTTGTTTGGCACATCCTTATAATAATCAATTTGAGTTGTTACCATCTCAAAATACAATATAAGGGCATGTCGCATTTGATTATAAAACATCACCATTTCCATCATCAATAGCATGTGTGTAGCCATAAATCCACCTCTAATTGAATAATGACATGTTTAACTCACCAAATTATGGCCCATTATATAGTTGAAGGAACAAAGAATGTATTGTTTAAGACCTTATAGTTTGTATGTGAGTGGCACTTAATTGGTCTATTGCTTCCAACACAATAAAATGTTATAAGATTCTTCAAAATTGTAAGATTTCTACCATACAACATCATTAATTGTTCATTCTTTACCATTATAGTAGATATTTATAATTCATTTACTTATAAACATGATGGAAGGTATCCAACCACAGGCAACCACTACATAGGTTTAAATAAGATTTTTAGGACAATCTATGAAAAAAAGAGAGCATATTTTATTGTTATTTTCCTAGTCACATTTTTTCCATATTGTGGGACCATCATTTCTTGCCCATCCTTGAATAAATCAATTACCAACATTGGGTACCTCCCAAAAATGATGGATCTGACATTTCTTTAGAACTAGTGGGCCTAAGAAGAGAATCCAATACTATTGTGACCACCTAAAATAAGTATTTAATTACAAAGTTTGATATATTATTAGTAATTTTAGATACCTACAAAATGTGTTACTACAAACATTGTATTTTTACGTCATAGGACACCTCTGCTCATTCACCTAATGTGAAAAATATGTCTCACTATTCATTGTCCCTACATGTATGTAGTAATTATTATCTCAAGGCATCTAATGTGAAAAATATGTCCACTTTTCTTATAATAAGAATTCTTCCACATAAATTCATGGTTGCAAACATTCAACCTAATACAACATACCTTATCCATTTTAATGAACAAGTGTCAACAATGATAAAAGAAGAGAATGATAGTTGGAGATGGAGTATCCTAGATGTGATAGTGGTAAGTTGGCACTACATCAAATCCACCATGCAAGATGTACATTTGAGCAATGCATGTAGGGATCATGTGGAACTACATATCATGATATGGAATTTAATGTTCATCTTAATAATACACCAAACATTATTTAATGTATAACTACTTTATCATTAGGGTATCTTATCGGGGGTCACTAGCCACCTATATATAGTGAGATAATGGCATATTAAGTGACTACAATTCTCCCAGATACTTGAGATCTTAGTCATTACTATTCTCTTGCAACTATCATTCATCCAATTGGATCACATTCTACTAATTATTTTGGTGGAATGCTATACACCATTATCACAATGCAACCTGATCAGGACCAGTCATATCATGTTAAGCTATGATAGACAAATCTCAAGATCTAGTTTTGGAATATTCAATTTCTCTTTTAATGTTCATTTTAAATAAACTATAAACTACAGAGCTACTAAAATATCCAAATACTAAGAATAAACACATCCACATGATTTCATTCATTTCATCAAAATATATTTACACTATAGTACATAACTACATGCATAAGTAGGGCTGCAAGCGAACCAAGCATTTGACGAGCTACTCGATGCTCGGTTCGATTAAAGCTCGTTTGTGATTGTTTAACTAATTAAACAAACAAACTTGAACAACATTTTAAATACTCGATCCTTAAATAAACAAGCTTGAACACTAATGTGTTCGGTTCATTTATGTTCACGAACAACATCATTTGAAGTTCGTGAACAAGCTCGACATTAAGTTCGATAAAAAGCTCGATAAAAGCTTGAATAGAGAGAAATGCAATAGGTAAGCTTCATTTAAGAATATATTCATATAGATTAATCATATTTTTATTTTAAATAGATAACTACTTTTATTATAAATTTAATTTTCTGAACAAAAGACATTTCACATTTGTCTATGTTTGTTAGATTATTTTTTTAAGATGTTCATGAACAAATTTAATGTTTGTTTGTTCAATAGATTGTTTGTTAAATATGTTAATGAACATAGCTCATTAAGGCTTGTTTGCTTAAAGCTCGATAAGCATTAAACGAACCAAACATGAACCAAATATGAACACCCTTAAATTAAATGAACCAAACATGAACACAAACAATAAAACTCGAATCAAACATGAACCGAACTTGAACAAGCTAATGATAAACGAACTCAAACATGAACACTGGCATACTCAGCTCGGCTCGGTTCGTTTGCAGCCTTATGCATAAGCTATAAAATAGAATCGAATAGTAAAATAGTCACGACTATACAAAAAATCAGAATAGTGAAATACTTATAAACTCATATCTTATCCTAAACTGCTAATCCAAAATATCCTTCTCTTTCCTAGAGCCTGAAAATCAGAAATAAAATTATCGTGAGCTATAACAGCTCAATAGGCCATATAAACCAATTTAAAATTTAAAATTATTTTATTAAACATTTTACTAAATAATTAAAATAAGTTAAATGCAGATTAATTTATCACTGCACTGAGAAATATAATAAGATCATAATAGTTATTCAATTATTTACATAATATTACTGAACAAATAAATAAGTTGCAATTCATTTCATGGAATAATTCATATCACATTTTCTAGACTCAAAATAAATCTAAGGATTTTGACCCCTTATGACTCCATTTTATGCTTATAGCTCCAGAATATGCCTTATTACATGCGCTAGAATATTCCTTGGCACAAATAAAATCTCAAAAGATTCTAGTCTCTAAAGGCTCCTAGCTGATATAATTTAATTGTATATGTACAAATATCATCATCTCAGTAAAGCAATTAAAAAGTAATTGAACATGTGCAAAATTGTATAATTTTTTATAATGGTAGGCAACAGAAAATATTTAATAAAAAATTTTTACTAGTGCAAAATTATCTCCATTTTTTATATTAAAGACGAGATATTTTATATGATAAAAGTTTTATTAGTGCAAAATTATCTCCATTTTTTGCTTAGAGAAACATATTTTAATAAAAAAATTTGATAAAAATTACCAATTTTAAAAAATTG